AGTGACACGTTTTACCAACTCACGTCCTCGTTGGCTCTCTGCACCCTCAGACAGGATATTGAGCTGTCAGGCTTAAAAGTGGGAGTCAAATCTTTTTCGAATTAGCCGTCTTTAATGTCGACGATAGAAAGCTGGAAGACAAAAGAGGAAAAAACACATGAATGAAATGAGGGCTTTTGGGGCTCAAATGGAAAAAAAAACCCACAGGCTAACTTTTTTTCTTTTAAACTAGGTGACTGATGGCACATCTGGAAAGTAACAGGCAGCAATGATTTTAAAAAGATAAAAAAAATGTAATATTTTATGCATACTGTAAAATAGATTGACTTAATAATGATTTTATGGATTGTCCTAAAACTTTAGACAACCGGACATAAATTTTTTCACCCATGCATTAAAATCTTTTCAGATCCATAACATACACCTTCTTTCTAAATTCTGGTACAATTTCTATAAAATTTCAGCAAGTCATTCACAAAGAGGTAACATCCCAATCTCCTCGTGCCGATGACCRAAAATGTTCTCATCTGAGACGCTGAACGCGATGTTCTGCCCTTAGGTTAGACCGGCTCCTAAACATGGAGATTTATTTGTGTTTGCGTGTGGGTGAAGGATGAAAAGGGAATTGTATTTACACAGTTTTGAGCGTTTGTGTGATGCAGAGAAAAACAGGAGACTTTAGAGTGCACACAAAAGTTCTGTTATTTTTCCAAACCGGGGTTTGGTTCAGTTTGGGTTATTAACAATGCAGCACAACCAGGCAAAAAGTGAGGAGAAATCTCATTTCTAGGAAGTCCAAGTTCAAAGTGATAAAAAGAGATAAGGGTAACAACTCTCCCCTGGGCTATGCTTAATTTACTTTGGGTTCTTTTCAGCAGAAAGCCGTGACCTCCCAACCACTAATGCCGTGAAGAACAATGACCACAAGAACCTGCAAGCCCTCATTACAGAATCTAGCCCTTGTAATTTTTATATGCCGTGTGTCTAGATCATGTTTGTAGTGTGTAAGTGCATTTTGGTTTTTGTGGAGGAAAAGATATGACTAGCTTTCCTAAGTCACTTAAGGCTTGGTGGACTTGATGGTCGAAGGTTGTTGCAGTTTACCAGTGTAACCCAAACGCACAGATTTTTCTGGTTACCGAGCAAATCCTGAACTTATATTTAGCTTGAAGCCAAATGCCCGCCATAGCATGACAAGAGCTATTTAGTCTCGTTGGAATCAGAAAGTTGAAAAGCTGCTTAATAAAAAATGTCTGCCAAATTTAATCTAATCTTTCATGTTCCATCAGACTCCACCAAGCATGAAGTTACTGAGGGCAGAAATGTCAAACGCTGAGCTATTTCACGCTACATAATCTAAGTGACTGGCTGAAAACAGGCAACACAGGCTTACAATATGGAAGTCATTGAGTGTGACCAAGCTGTAGGGGTACAGGTTTCTCAGGCCAGACACAGGAAGACAGAGATACATCTGCAACTCCTTAAAGTCAGGAGACGGATAAGGAAAGAGAAGTTAACAGAAAGTTTTGAATATCTTGTAAACTTCTCGTTTTTATGTCAGAGTTTTTCAGTAAAACCATTTGACAAATTTTAAAGATTATTAAGAACATTATACAAATCAGGGGTGTCAAACTCATTTTCACAGAGGGCCACGTGAACATTATGGCTGCCTTCAAAGGGCCAGTTGTAAGGCACTTCAACGTTTCGTGTTCAACTTTGACTAAACATGAAACATCGTTTCCCGTCTCACTTATAACAAACACTAACTGAGCTCTACCTGGTATTTTTTGCAATGAAAGGTTTTAACGTGTCCTCTTATAAACACTGAAAAGTACTACGTGCACGACTGAACAATTGTGAAATAAATAATACAGAAATACTATTATAAGTGAAACTAAGAGTTTAACTCACTGCTGAGCTGTGGTAATAGCTGCCATCTCGATTTCTGAACTCTCCCACTTTCCGACAGAGAATTTCCACAAGAGAGGCAATGCAGTTTATGTTTACGAATTGTAAGTGGGAAATTCCCACTTCAAAGTACAACTAGGGTGAAGGAAAATTAGCAGATAAAAATGCAGTAAATGGAGACTTAACATGGCAAATTTCACCAGCTGCCAAATAGAACTTTTGAATCCTGTGCACCTCCGCCTAGTGGTGGAATGTCATCACTTTTCAAGTAAAATAATCAACGTGCATTATGGGAGATGGAGTTTAATGCTGACTTTAAAGCCACATACACTTATTTTAAGACATTAAAACCTCTCGATGGCCATATAAAATGTTATGGTGGGCCACGTTTGGCCCATGGGACTTGAGTTTGATACATTATACACAGTCTCAAATTTGATTGGCTATGGCAGCCATCTTGAACTGGGTTGACTCCATTACAGATACAAATCCAGCAATTGTTTTATGTTATTTTTTGTTAAAATACAAAACACATCCAGTATTTCATGAGATATTTTGCTAACGTTACAGGCAAACGCACACAGGCAAATACAAATATCACCTACCTTTCATAGTAATAGACAAAAGCTAGATCAAAATAACTAGCTACAGCATGCACACAAAACATAAACAAATAGAAAAAGAATATATATATATATATATATATACAAAATTACATGTTTGTTTTTCTAGTTGATTAATTTATCCAAGATCAGGTTTATCCAGTGAAAAAACTCATATTAGGCCTCAAATCTAGAATATTCCAAAGGTAAAACACATGAACTTGTGTAAAATGAACATCGACTTTATAAAGCTTTCTCAGATGTGTGTTACTGCAGGTGTGTGTGTGTATGTTTTAGTGTGGGTTAAATGTTTCCTGATTGTGGGTGGGCCCATTAGCCCACAACCTTTCATAGCTTATGGGTCAGTGGTTTAGGAAAAAATGTCCAAAACCACATGCACATACTAACCACAACACACACCACCACAGTCTTTACAAACCATATAAATAGACACATAGGGGGGAAAAAAAAGAAAACACCCTGGAAGTGTGACACACATCATAATAAACATTACTCACATAAAGCAAACACCCTGACGTGGTGAGCATGTGTGTGCGTGTTGTGTGAGTCTTTCTTTATTGAAGTTTTATGACGAAACATGAAGCCCGGTCCTGATTCGAACCATATGACGACACCAGCGTTTGATCTCTGCAAGCTATTCACGAGTCAGACAGACCCACGGTGTGTGTGGTCACAGAACGCCTCCACACATGTCATGGGTTAACAGTAACACACACTCGAGAGAGAGAGAGAGAGTGTTGGGGGTGGAATTAGCACTGATGCATGTTTGAGGAAAGGTATAGCAGAATCATTAGCCTGCTGACCGACTCGTCACGCATCAATATCAACTCAAAGCAAAGCAARATTTGGTTCCTTTTACATTTCATTTACTTTAAAGATGAACGCTGTTTTAATTCACAAGGATAAAAATTAAGATTGTAAGAATACGATTCTATAAGTGTTAATAATAAATCAAAAAACCTACAAAAGCAACCCACAAAACCCACCCATTATCTATACCCGCTTCTTCCTTTCTGAGTCACGAGGGTCACTGGTGCCCATATCCAGCAGTCACTATTTATTTATCTATCTATCTATCTATCTATCTATCTATCTATCTATCTATCTATCTATCTATCTATCTATCTATCTATCTATCTATCTATCTAT